TCTACTACTTGACGAGTGGAGTTAGATTACAGCTGCAATGTTTAAATGGGGCAGACTGCATCGGTATGTGCGATATATTCCATTCAACTAGACAATCACGCTTCTGGTAGAGATAAGTAGATGTGTGTCGCGTACGGCCTGCTACAAAAACCCACTTAGCAAAAGGGAGTTTGGTGGATACCATCACGCTCTTCGAAGGAGGCAATGAGATCGTTCGCGACAATCATCAAGAAATTTGAGAATGTCGGGCATATGAGCAACACAAACGTGGGGACTCTAGCATGTGATACATGGGTCACACTTCAGAATGTTAAACTGCCGAGCAGAGTAATTTGGACTCCACTGATATAATTACCTAATGGAATTTCATAACTAAATAACTACATAAATGCATATATTTACCGACAAGCGCTAAACGGCCCAATAAGTTGGAGCGATCACTTTGCACTGAATAGTATCATGGTTTATATGACATAAATTCATAATAATAAAACAAATTTAAATAATAAAATTTCGGAGTATGAATTTTCCCTCTGGTATTAGACCCGATCACCTAATACGGAAAATGTATCGATGTTTGTCACCATATTTTAGTTCGTGTGACTCAGGAGTAGCTAATAAAAGGACGGAGCTAATAGGTCGCACGGACATAGGGTTTGGTTTTGTGAGTAATGAGGCGGAGTTGGCAAGGGGATTATGAGCAACTGACTGCTCATATTTTGTTCATATCAGCTTACGTCAATGTTTCTAAAGTTTATTGAAAGCTAAAGATCGTCAATACATTTGATATAGTAAGGAAAGTATATAGATTTCGAAAGGTGACATGGTTTGCACTCATGTATATCTGTAGGGGTAGCTTGTTCCACAGATCTTTGTATCTCACTAAGAAGAAATTCCATTGAGTTTTATGACTTGCAAGCTTTGAGGGTAGCAAGTAACCGCCATTTCGTTTGGGGGTAGACTGCAGTCTTCCGTAGCTCAAGTGCGGTATTGTCTGCGTAAATATCTTGGTTAGTAATGTTGTTGAAGAGGTGATTGTTCTCTAAGCGTCGCAGCCAGAGGATCCACTTGGAGTTCTCGACAGCGGTCATAATAACTCAGGTTTGAGCAGATTCCCTTGAACAGCATGGTAAACGTGCGTTGGACATTCTCCAGGACTGTGCTGTCTACCTTTTTCAATTGGCTGTGAACAAAAGTACAGCATTCCAGAGTCGGTCTTACTATTCACTTGAATGACTCAAGTCGTGTTTCAGGCAGGAGAAAGTTCTGGTGATGTATCCGCATAGCAGCCTTGATTTACAACCCGTTAAAGCACATGTTCGGAGAAATTGAAGGAGTTGGAGTATCTAATTTCTAACTCCCGTGCTGAATTAAACATTGCGATCACGTTTACGGCAAATGTGGTAGAGTCATCCGGAATGCGGTATACGTGCCCAAGTACTTGGGATTTTACTGCGGAGAACTGCATTAACAAACGCTCGCTAGCTATATTTAGTGTGGATAGGTCTTCACAGTTGCTTCCCAGTCACATTGGTAGTTGGTCTGGATGAAATGCATAGACCAGTTTGACGTCATCTGCCAACAGAAATGAGTGTCCATGTTTGATCTGGTCGTATATGTTGTCTACGTAGATTAGAAAAAGTAGTGGTCCGAGAAGACTTTCATGTAAGATGTTGCTGGTCCTTTGTTTTGACGTAGAGTATTACTGACCACTTCCAACTACCTAGGTTCTATCATTTAGGTATGAGTCGAACCAGTTTAGCAGAGCGCTTCCAACGCCGTGTGACACTAGACCAGACAGCAATGGCCTGTGCGGCTTGTGGTCGATCGCCTTTTGTGTGTCCAAAAGATTTATACCGGTTGCCACTCTTCTGCCAATTGTGGTTGTGACATGATCGGCGAATTGTAGCTGGCAGGTAACGCAGGAGCCTTTTGGGATAAAGCCATGTTGTGTGGGATTAATCAGCTTCAGTCTTGTATGATATTGGATAATGTTCCTCTCGCGTATTCTATCTTGGGCTTTGCAATCAGCTTAGTTGTGATCCATAGAACGGTAGTTTGTTATTTATTTTCGCGGGACACCCTTGTGCATCAACATTAAGATGGATTGCTTCCGTTGAGATGGGATGCGGCCTGTGGTGAGAGAAAGTGTGAATGTATTTAACAACAGTAGAGTGATGTTTTGCTGCCGATTTTTGTAACATTAGAGGCGATGCCATTTGGCCCTGGACGAGTTGATGATTTTATAAATGCGATGGCACTTTGCGCCTCTCTCAACATCACAGCAATATTACGGAGTAGCTAGTTCGTAGTTTGTGGAAGTGGCAGATGAAACACCTGAATGCTAGGGACAAAGCAGAAGGCGAAATTCGAGTTGAAAGTCTTGCATATGCAGATGTTGCGCTTTATTAAACCATCGTTCGGAGCCAACGTTTCGATTTCCTGATTGGTGTTATAGTTCCTTATTCTGGGTAGTTACATCAAAGTACGTACTTCTTCAGGATTTACAAGTACCAGGCTTTCTTCTTTGATGTTGGCCGTTCGGGTTGGAAGTTGCAGCTGTAGCAGAGCCTCGTGTATTTGTAGCAACCTTACGAAGCTGTTGCTCCTGCGATTTAGTGATTTAAGTTTCTTCAGATTGGTTGAGGCATGGTACAGAAGCTTGTGTCCACTACTATGTTCATAGGTATTTCTCCATACGATAGGTGCCAATAGGTCTACCCCAAGGGCAGTATTGTTAACAAACTCATTTGTAACCACCGTAGGATTGTGAGTTATGAATGACGTGTTCCAGTTCATGGTATTGATAAATTCATTAAATGAGTTCTGGTCCTCAGGATGGAGGTTACAAATGGGTGATAACATTTTACTTGATGGTAGTAGTCTATAGTGGTCTATTAAGGAAGCAACATGGCATGCTTCTTCATATATTTGCGAGCCATAAATTATGGTTTGATGTACAAGGATCTGTGACCTCCAGTAATGAAAAAGTGGTATGGGACAAGGCTGGCTACCCTGACTGAGATCATTCAAATTCGGTATGGACGACATCCTGGAAGTGATAACAAGAACTGCCGTTTCAATCGCATCAAGCTGCTAATTAGCAACGCACGTTTTATATTGTAGTATACTGAAGCTGTCTGTGCATTATGTGGCCTTTTGTAACCCAAAAAGTGCGCTGTGGTTGGGAACGGACTGCAACTCTTGTAGAACCGGTCAGAAACTGCTACTTTGTGGTATTCAGGTTAACAGCTGAAAGAAGTTAATAACCTTGTTAGTTTCACGATGTACCATAGCGTTGGTGATTACACGGATGAGACCTATTCGCACATCTTCAGGCGCATAGTGATTTCTGGTACCCGTGCCACCCTAGAAGTTCACTGCAAAGTAGAGCCACGAAGTTGCTGAACAAATCGATGTCATCTGTGCTTGAGCAAGGAAGCTCACCGGTTGCTACCATGTGACTACCATAAGGTGACAGTAATGAGGTTGTCATTCAATTACATTTTAGGCCAGACCGTCTACCAGTGACTGAAAGTATGCTTCAGCTACGTAGCACAGCTATTATGGCAAGACCCAAGAGTCTCCAAGTTTCAAAGCAAATGGGGCGATAGGAGATATCCGTGGGTGGGTCGATGAGCCAGGACTTGGCAGTGTGCTCGAAATTTTGACGAACGCAAAACAGAACACTGCATCACACCCTGACCAATCTTCAAACAGCAATATCGGCCAGCCTCTATCTCATGAACACACGACAATTCATCTCATTCAGAAATGCTAACAGACAATTATCTCAGTGTGATGTATTCCAAAGTCGTTTTTTGTTGACAATATTTTGTCTACTCGTATCACCTCTAGCGGAAGGTATTCTTCAGAAATAATTGCAGATGAATGTCACCCTTTTCAAGACCTCATATCAAATTAATAGACCAGAACAGTTTACAGGTCTACCTTTGCTTGCACATGTGCTTACTCTCATCCGTCATCCCAATTGTGGCACATTTTTCCGCGAAGATACAAGATCTACCAGTAAGTTCGCTTTGTAGCTATATTACTGCCTGTGCTATTTAGTAACCAAGCTATTCTGTTCGCATTAATCATAAAGTAGCGCGATCACAACGCTGAAGGGTGAATAGCAGCAAAATGTCCTTCCTCGCCGTTGTTTCAAACAGTTTCTTGCAACGAGTTGAGAAATTTCACCACCATAATAACTACAGGTTAAAAAATTTAGATATTCCCTAATAAAACTGCGAAAATTGTCATGTGAAATGTTCCGTCGGTTGGGCAAAGAATGGCTAAAGCATAGCTGCCCCGCAATATTAGGCTACGAATTAGTGAAACGATTAAGAAACTCATCAGTAATAGACTACAAACTCAGAAGCTAAAGGTTGTGAGATGCTTAACTCATGCCATGGGGACTACTCGATCATTAACGCTGAAGAGTATGCAAAGTATCACAGAGGAAATTGATTTGTTACAACTAGTGTCCACCCTATCCACATAGGTGGAAGGTTAAGCGTCCCATAGCGGCGTCTTTTTAGTCACTCGCAAGAATGACTAATTGTTTAAATAATATCGCAGTTAGTTTGGCTACAACATTAGCAACAAGAACTTGTATTCAGTTTATATTATACGTTTGACTATCCCTCACTGCAGGCTTATTTAACTGTACCAATAAAGCATGACACTATCTCGCCATTGCTGTCACAGGGCAACTCTGTGGTTATACAGCGCCGACCTCGTAGACCTTATACTAGGGACTCTCGGTCTAATATGAATTGCTTCATGAAGCATGCTTACGGCAGCGTAATGCAGGACAATGCTACATGTGGTATGCACCTGTGTGTTCCATTGGTTACTGTGTTTTCATTTGTGAGCAGGTCCCAACCAATTGTGTGCCCTTTGTTTTCCGGTAGCCATGAATAAGTTGCGGGGTCTTGAACACAGCCATTCATGGATTCCGTGGATATTGTTCTTTCTTGTACACATGATTCCTAGACGCGATCTTCGGAGTGTATTATTGGTAGGTGGACACTTCCAACGTACCACATATTTAAAGATATGCCTGATGAATTAATGCCTGTGACAGCAACAACGAGGCAGCTAAGCCTTAATTCAAGCTGCCTTGGTATCGCGATTAAGCTGGATTTATCATCTTGAACTATAAAACTCATGCTTCGCTGTCTCGTTTGTTGTGCTCGGAATTACAGTTGGATCCGCGCAGCTTACTCAGTACTCATCTGTGACCGCTGTTAAGGGTGGCCAATACGTACACGTTGGATTGATAACAGGGATTTGTCGCTTATTGCTAGCCGGCGATGTTGCTGTCACGTCAAAGTGGCAGCAGCAGATGCACACACAGGACGAACTATTTTTCTCAGTACCCGTAAACAGTTGTGGCCCATCTTGGATAGACTCACGAATCCGCCTTCACCAGTTTTCATTGTCGGACTGTAGTGCGGCATAGGTTCCTACGACCATACATTGTTGAGTTGAGAGATGGCATGAATCCAGGAATCCGTATTTCTCCAGTGGGTACATTGGTAAAACTTGACCTGAAACGTGTGATTACGGACTCTTTTGCTCCAGCATACACCTGACAAATAAAGCAGCATTCAGGTTACTATGCACGCGAGAAGTGTATCGTTACTGGTGACACCTGACACGTGTAGCATGCAAAGAAGCGATGATGATTTCCGTCTGCACCGGCAAGAAGAATGTCACGTTAGTGATTCCCCGACCAGGAGACCACGCCGACCACTCATTTGAGCTTGTAATCACTACGCTCGCCTGATCAATGTGCGCCGCTCCCAAAGCTGGAAAAGTACAGAACGCCAACCAACCCACTGAGTCAGGTAACCACACCACGTTAAATGGCAGAAATGTGAATCCGAAAAGGCTGCAGGCAAAAAGCATGTGCGGGTTTGGAGAATTGCATTGATTAGTTAAAATAGGTTTGGCTTGCACTGTTTGGAATGGTATCATCCGAAATGTGCAAACGTGTCCCAACAACACGTACGTGAGTGAAATAGCTCACAAGATGCGATTTGGTTCTACACTGCGTGCTCGACTATCCCACTCGTTAAGTGCTTGCTAATCCCAGTTCAGAAGTATGACTGGTTAACCGCAGAAGCCGAGCAGCGGATAAACGATAAGATTAATTTAATGGAAGCGAGTATGCGCCAGGGAAGCATAGCGTCCTCTAAGCACCGGAATACTGTACCATCCGCTGCCGCTGAAGTGAAATCAGCGACGTCCCCATCTCCGTTGTCTTCTTTAACTTTGGTAGAACCCAGGGCGAAAACTGCATGTGCCTATGAGAGTCAAAAAATACTCATGGCAACGAAAATCAGGCACCACTCGAAACCTCTGGTTACCCAATTTCCACTAGACCTGACATCCAGCACTAACCAGAATGAAGTAATCCAATAGCAACTCCGGTACCTGTAGCTCATATGTCTCTTGTCGAGACAAAGTCCCTCGGAATCTCACTTCCATATGAAGAGATTGCTGCAACGGTTAGCTGGGAGGCCACCGTTGTGGCCTCTTCTGTTGTAAGCACCGTTAACCCGAATAGAGGGACAAACAGCAAATAGTCATCAATTGTCAGCAGGTCAGGACAAATGATTAATCTACCTTGTAGATCAATGAAAAAGGATCCAGCAATAGTACTCGGACTGTTGTATGCTAAACTGTCCCTGAATCTACCGCCATCACATTGCGAGGTAAGTTATCGGACGACCAAGTCCAATGGAACTCATTGTGCGTGCTGATGAGTGTCAAAGTCATGCTCATAAACTTATTACGAATTACTCGTCATCCGAACTCTCCACACTATGGAGAACCCAGACTTATCCGAGTAACACTAGAATCCTCCACGACGTAGAAAACGTTTTGCTCTCCGCAAGCGCGCTAAAACACGGATCCTGTGGGATACGCATCTATCCTGATGTCCCTTGGAGCGCGCGACAATCAAAAAGAAACACCGAAGAGGACACAGCAAACAAGACCGCCTAAACACAATCTTCATACATGGCGTGCCAGAACATCCTTCTAACGATGTTCAAGAGACCGGAAAGCACGATTTAGAACAGTGGCGGTTCATTCGTGAAACACTTTCTTTGGATAATATTGTGGCGCTATCGCTCACCAGAATATCTCTCTCACCAAATTATAGAGGATGCGGCCCTAGAATCCTAAAACTTGTGGTTCAGTCAGAGCAACAAGCAACGGATGTTTTGGATCGATGGCGGAGAAATCGGAAAAGTCTTCCTTCTGAACTTCGGTTAAAGGTCGCAGAAGCTTTGCAAAGTTCAAATATCAAAGCACCTGAAGCAGCAAACGTACCGACGATGTACAGAAGCTTAACTTGACTGCTGCTTTAATTGACTCTGACGTAGGTCTAAACGAATATTGGGACGCACCTTGGCCGAATCAAGTTGCAAACGAGGTATCATTATCCCTCCTAAAAGACGAGTAACTGCCGACCTCCCATCGGTCGGCATTCTCCCACACTTGACCCCTTTACCCCTCTGTGGGCTCCTAGAGACCGAGAAACTGGCCTGCTTGTATACGAATGCTCAGGGTCTTTTTAACAAACTGGCCGAACTGAAAGATCGCCAAGCTTCCGGGTCATATGATGTCATTGGTATCACCGAGACGTGGTTGCACACGGGAATGACGGACGCTGAAGTTTCGCTACCGGGCATGTCGATGATCCGGAACGATAGGCTCACAAAAGGAGGAGGGGTAATCCTGTATTACCGAAGCGACTTACAGTGCGAAGCCGTGGAGGATTCAGACTCGCAGTTCCCCGACTCTCTTTGGTGCCGGTTGCAGTTAAAAGGCAGGGACGCTTGCCTTATTGTCTTGGTGTACCGCCCCCTAACTCTACACCCGAAACCGACTGCCACCTAGCGGCTGCTTTAAGATGCAGTTTACAACGAAAGTACACTCACATACTTATCATGGGTGATTTCAACGTACATTGTGTAGAAACTCCTGCCACGATCGGAGAACAATTCAAAACCGATCTACAAGATCTCGTAACCACTGTTCCTCTTTACAATCACATCACTTTGCCCACTCGGTTCAGAACAGGTAACAGGCCATCTGTGCTGGATCTTGTGCTTACCAACGAGGAGCATATGATTGATGTGTTGGCTTTAGACTGCCGTTGGGTCGCAGTGATCACGCAGTCATCAGTTTCAACTTCGTCTGCTATGCGGAATATCGGAATGAGAACGATGAGACTGTGCGAACCATCACAAGCTACGATCGATTAGCCCAGCTCGTCAGCGCTACAACTGGTCGTTCCTTGCCGAAGAACCTCCGGAAGTCGCTGGCTCGAGTTCGTCAACAAATTCAGTCAGCTGATTGCAGAGGCTTCAGAGATAAGAGTTTGCAATAAGTGTAAATCAGTTTCTTTCGTTAGGAGCAGAACTCGAAAATGGATGACAGTACGCAACGCAGCATGGCGAGTGTACAGAGAAGCTCCAGCACCAGAAACTTGGGACAACTACGTAGCCCAACGTAACCACTGCACTCAACTGCTAAGAGAAGACAAAGCCGCCTATCAGCAGAACATCGCAAAAACCTTCAGTGCTAACCACAAACTGCTGTACAAGCACGTCAATAGCCTACGAAGGTGAGGCAAGGATTTCCTCCACTCAGGACGGCTGATGGCCCAACAAGAACGGCTGTGGAAGCAGCAAACGCGCTGCGGATGCAATATGCCCCCACTTTTCAGAGGGTCTTGCCACAAAGCGAGCTTTAAATACTTGTCTTCTCCTCGCCAGAACTAACCCACACTACTTTTCCCGCGGAGGCTGTATTACAAAAGCTGACGTCTCTACGCAAACACAGTTCGCCGGGTGTCGACACCATTCGTCCAGAGGCACTGGAAGCAGCAGCAAGCCAACTGGCAGGACCTTTAGCTCAGTTTTTCCAGCGCTGCTTAGATCAGAATCAAGTTCCCGCTATGTGAAGCTCGGAATAATAACCCGATTCACAAGGTGGAAAGCAGAACTGAGCCCTCCACTCACCGCCCAGTATCCCTACTTCCTATACTCTCCAAGGTCGTAGAATCCATAGTGGCTGATGTAATGGTGTGTTGTTTGGAAAACTGTAGCGTTATCATGCCTGAGCAGCACGGCTTCAGTCAACAGCGGTCATGCACAACGAATTTGCTAATGCACAGCAGTAGTTGGACCGAGTCAGCTGACTCTAGAGAAGGCGCTTGATGTGAGCTACCTGGATTTTTCGAAGGCTTTCGATCGTCTAGACCATCGGATACTACTATCCAAGCTCCAGCATTACGGGATCGGCGACCCTCTTTTAAGCTGGATTGCCAACTTTCTACTTCAACGGCAATTAGTGGTCAGAGTTCGGAGCTCTTTATCGGACCCCATACAAGTCGAGTGTGGTGTGTCGCAAGGCTCAGTTCTAGGTCCACGTTTGTTTTTGTGTTTATTAATGACCTTGCACAGGGAATCGCTTCAAACTTCCTAATGTTTGCCGACGATATCAAGAGTTGGCGCAGGATCCAAGCGAACGCCGACCAACGTCTGCTTCAGTGAGACTTAGATACGGTATATCAATGGTCAAGCCAAAATTTACTGTATTTAGCATGTGTAAATGCAAGGTACTTTCTATCCGAGATCAAAGCAGCTACTCGTACCGGCTCGGAACGAAGGTACTGCCAATATCAACTGTCCAACGTGACTTGGGTCTCCTGGTTCAAGATGACTTGGGTTGCTCCAGGCAATCCAAAAAGTTCTGGAAGACTGGAAATCAGCATGTCGGGTGGTTGCGATTGGCGTTTGGACAAATACACAGCTCCAACTGTCGACAAATGCCCAGTGCGCATGTTCGCCCCCATATCGAATAAACAATTCAAGCGTGGCATCCATGATTGACACAAGACCTAAATGCTCTGGAGCAGCCAAAACATCGGGCATCTAAGAACGTGATTGAAATGCGCAATCTTTCATACCAGGAGAGGCTGCAACAATTGGGGTATTCAGCGGGGGCCATCACAGAATAAGAAGTGACCTGATTATGGCACACTTGATTCTACGAGACGCACGTCATGTGTGTCGACCTTTACTGCGACTCTGCACCAATACAACCTTGAGGAGCCACTCACTGAAACTCGCAGAACAGTGTAGCCGTC